AACTTAATCGACTGTTTCTCGACAGTCCGTTCATTTATTTAATTCATGGTCCTTATATACATTTTAATTTTCAGTAACGTAAACACCGAAATTAAAACGTTTACACCGACAATATAACGTAGACGTGAAATTTAGGTGTATATACCGTAAAAATAACGTATATACCGAAAAGTCGTAAGGCACAGTCTTTGTGTAATCACGTATACGCGATTTTTTCGTGTCTACATGATTCATCTGATTTCTATGCAGCCTAGCCATTAAACCACTCCTCATTATCATTTGGGTTGTTGCCTAGCAAAACCATGCTTAGAGTATATAAAAAATATATACTCTAAGCATGGTTTTGCTGGGCAACAACCCATTTTAGTATAAGTTATGGAATAATCAAAAGAAATAATAAAAGACTAAATGGACATTGTTACCAGAATGGATGGGAAATTACTAATAAACTTTGTATATGCGGCGGTAAAGTTAACGACTAAATAGGAGTTTAGAACAAAAAAATTAAGAAGATCAAATTTTAATTCGTTACAATAGTTCAATTATCGAAAGTTATCCATTACCTGAATTACGTAAAACATTATTAAAATGTTTAGATATATTCATAAGAACTAACGAAGAAAATGAAAGAAGAGATTCTGAAATTACGAGATATAAAGTGCCCGTAGAGGTTCAATCGAGTTTTGTATGAATGAAAACCTGGATATGTTAATTTGTTCTATATTATTTACGATCAATATAATAGTATTAGTCGGATGCTAAAAGGGTTTATCTTTGAATTTAGGTGTAAGGGTTGAATATACCCAAGTTCTTAAAGATTTTTGGATAATGACAATATGCCAAGAGAGCTGAAAGAGGCGGATTCGACACAGGTTAATCCATAATATAATAATTATAATTAAATTAATTATAATAATTATATGTTTAACTTATTCGTAAATTTATCTTTTATAAATTCTTATTTTATATAGTTTACTTAAAACAAACCAGCTATTTATTTCTTAAATTTACTTCATGTGTCACTATTTCACATCCTGCTGATCATGTGGTCTTATTATCACTAGTGCTTTATTGGTTCGATTCAGGGTAGATCGTGCTATTCCAGTTGTCTTCAAATTACAGGTCATAAAAATAGATATAATTATGTATAAATTATGTGTAAAATGATGTGCGTTATTATAATCTATCTATATTTCTAGTCTGAAGCTAAAGTAAATTATTGAGGGCTTTGCTCAGCAAAGAGCATTATTTTGTTAGATTTCCGTGATATTGCCTCAGTATTAGATATCCCAAAAATATAAGAATATATAGATGGGGTAATTTTTAATATTAATTCATTAAATGTTTATAATTATATTTTTACGATATTTTTTTATGTATCGGGTTCAAGCTGAACGTATAACAAATGTCAATGGTCGACTATATAAATGCAATTTCGTCTGAAAACAATATAAGTAGCACAAGTTTTTTGAGGAAGAAACTCTTGATGAAAATAATTGCGATTTACAAGCTGTTGACGTTTGGCCTGATTGTCAAACAACTGTATCAATGCTTTGTCAACAGTAATTAATTGACATTGGTGGTAAAGACCGAGTAGAAAATAAAACATAAAATTACAAGAGAAAAGTTGGAACAAAGGTCTGAAATATTCCGGAAGGTAGTTCAATTATATTATGGCATGCCGAAGTTTTTTGCCGTGCCACACACCCTACAGGTTGATGACAGAATGGAACCAGAGGAAGGTTTTGAAAGTGTTAAGCAAGAATGATATCGAATCAAATCAAGTAGAATATTAGAGAGCGATAAGCCTCGTATAAATATTACGTCATTTATGTCTTTAGAAGATAGTTGTGGTGATTTGCCGAAAGCATCCATCAGAGTAGAAAATCTTAAAGATGCACTTGGTAAGTATAATCGATAATAATAATAATAATAATTCATCATACTTGATTATCTATAGTAAACGATGATTTATCTGTAAACAATGATTTATCTGATCATTTAGCATAGGATATTGAGTTTTTAAACAACGCAATTATGGGCGAAGGAACGATAACAAAAGAGCGATATAAAAACTTTTTTACACTCTTAGGCACTTTCTCTGATTATAGGTTTGCAGTACGACAAGTTTAGTAAACTACCATATCGAATTTAGCATTTCTGAAAATTAAATATCACTTATTCCCTTTTTTGTTACAATATCTTATACGTATAATTTGGATTTCATATGATTCATATTAGACCTTTACTAACTCTTAATTCTTAAATCAAGATGAATATGCATTAACTTTTTTTTTATACTTTCCAACAAATTGTTTTTATAAATAAATCGCATTAAAATTTTTAATGGATTTCAAATTATTTAATTTCAAATAATGGTTCTTTCGTTACTACACACTATATATGATCCGTTAAATATTTTTATATTTGTAATATAACCTCTTGAAAAATTTTGATTGTTCAATATCTTTACCAAAGAAAACTTATGTAAAAGAATTAACAACGAATATTCCACGCTTATGTGCAGTTGACAACATTGATTAACAACTTCCAATAAATGATTATTTTCCAAAGCAGCAGCAATTATTAACTGTTTAGAATTACAGTACTATCTTTTTATTAGTTTATTCAACAAAAATAAATAAACTCACCAAACTGTAATTAAAAAATACCTACAAGTTTGTTCAGATTGATGATTGCCAGCTTCGTTCATTTCCCACAATTTCCACAAATCACCAACATGAATGACAACATCTGATTCAACAAATACGTTAATGCACTAGAATTCGAGTCTTAATAATTCAGAGTCTCGAAAGGGTTTATTAAAGTTACAAGTCGAATTTAAAAGATAATTCACAAAGAATTATTATTTATTAGTAGACAGTGTCTTTCCTTTATTAAATTCAAAGCACTTATATATGTCATAAGTGGGAACAGAATTTAAGTTGATTCGGAATTTTTAAGGTTAGGGTTGGGATTGTTAGTATAATTATTCCATTCTAATCTAAGTGGATTCTGAACTCTATTATGATTCCTTTCCCACTTACAACATATATACTGTAAGAAATAATTTATTTGACACCTGAATGAATTATTCACTCCTTAAATACAAAATGAAACCCTGGTTATATTAATATGTTTAGAATGTGAGTTAGGGTTGGGATAAAGTAAACTTGTGAGAGAAACATTTTTATTATGTTATATGATGGGGTTATATTAGTAAAATTTTGAGATATTAACATTTTTGCAAATTTTATTATGAGAAATAAATTTGCCCTATTTATAATTGTAATTATAAATTTCATTATTATAAATTTTATTATAAATTTAAGGAGTAATACAAAGACTTCTCCAGGGCATAATAATTGACTCAAATGGCAACTCTAATGGAGTCAGTTTTGGTTTTGGCAATGTTATAATTTCTTTTGGAAGTTCGAGAAATTGTGCTATCATGCCAACTTCGACGTGCCACTTAAGAATATGAAAAGAAAATTGTTACATCTTTTGAAATAGATACATTATAAACACAGAATTATAGAGAACGTTCATCACCTCAATATGGCAGTGAAAAGCCCAAATTCCAGGGTTATTCACCAAAAAACGAATTGTCGTAGTGCTGTAAAAAAATACAAATTAAAGCATAAATAAAGTATGGATAAAATATTTGCAAAACAATAGTATTTACCCGAGTCTGGGAACAGTCGCAGTGTCACGACTAATCGGAAATTCGTATGTATGTATTGTTTCGTTGATAATATTCTGAACAATCCAAAAGGAATGTCCATGCTAAATGCAGAAAAATAAATATATAAATATATTAATTTCTTAAAGTTTTTTTACCTAGCTAAATATAATATAACCAGGGTTTAAATTCAGGGCAAAACTTATTTACACAGTATGAAAGTGGAATTATTTAATGAGCAAACTATGCGTGAATCTTTTAGTAAACCCTGAAATGATGTTATGTGAATCATTACGGCTAATTTTGATTGTGATCTAAATAGCAAAATCATTTGGCCAAATTAGGAATCAAAAAACTCTGAACTTGGCCCAACGATCTGCAATTTGACCAGAATTACAATCAAAATTAGCCGTAATATTGATCATGTAGCATCTAGAACATATCGGTTATAGTATATTTCAATAATTCAATTTTATCAGGATAGATAATATTTTACCAAATGGAAAGGATGGATAATATTATCGGTATCTGAAAAGAGACATTTAACTATATATTATGACGGTTATAATTAAATTAATTTTAAAATATATGAATACAAACTTTCTAAGACAAGTTCGATCATTTGACCTCTTTTATCCAACGTAAAAATGTTCTGTGCAGATGGCCATGTTACGTTTGGATATCTGGAAAATAATCTTTCCAAGGTATTATAACTATCATTGTAGGGTTGATACACAATCGGATTTTTTTCAATGTCATACACTTCTCCAAATGTAATTGAGCTATTAGTTTGTATATTTTTGCCCATATAAATTTTCAAATGAAAAGTTTTGATTGAATCTGATTTTGGTGGTAATGATGAGGGATTTTTTGGTGATAACAAATACAGGTCCATACTAAAACATTCATCATTTACTTTTGCCCATTCCGTTGTATTTGGTTCACCTTCAGAAGAATCATAACTAACTATTGATCGTGTCATTTTAATTAGTTTATTTTATTGCTCAGAAGATGTATTGTTCCGAATACAATTGGGGTTTGCTTCTACACGCATCCAAAATTTCTTTATGTTTTTTTCTGCTGGAATTGTATGATCTAGGGTAGCAATCACTGAATATCTTTGTCCAACATTTATAGGTAGATGGTAGACCGGTAGTGATTTGACGAGCTGTCTGTCAACCTCGATGATTTCTAACGTGTGATAATCTATAGAGAAATAGTATTGTACCAATGCACTAGATATAAATATATTTTTTTTTAATTTATAATCATAACTAGAGGTATGAGCGCAATGCCGTAATTGGTCGTAATTATATTATTACCCCACATTGATTATACGAAATCTATATTTAACGCCTTCTGAAATCTTATACACTCTTCCGGTGTCAGAAATAAAATCAGGATCCGCTTTACAATTTCCCTTACCTATACCATCAATAAGAACCGAGCTCGGTATGGGCTATTAAAAATAAAAATAGTTGCACAGTATTTGTAAATTGATCTTTCGAAGAACAACGTTTACCTCAGGATTTACCTCAGGTGTTGCATTAATGTCGTCATGATTTTGGGAGGTGTAATGATATTCATTTAATAATTCATTTGCATTTTGAGGATACCAATCTGATATAAGTATGTTGATATCCACATAATCTTTATAACTGTCATCATCCTCTTCAATAATTAACAAGCCGTAAAGCCCATCCATACGTTGAGCTTTATAATGTGAATGACTAGATTTTAAGGGTAGGGGGTATATAGACCATTTTTTATATGATCTTGTTGGTATATTTTTTTTATATTTAATATTTAAAAA